CCCTGACCCACTTCAGACTCTCTCCTTGTTTTAGAAATGAACCAATTTGTTTCGACTTTCTCCAGAGCAAAACCACACGATGGTAGCAGCGTCTGAGGCAGACCAGAGGGCGAGACTAGAGTGAGACCAGAGGGAGAGAATAGAGAGAGGGAATAGAGAGAGACCTGCGTGAGACCAGAGAGAGAGACAAGAGAGAGACCAGAGAGACCAGGGGGAGGGACTAGAGTGAGAGACTAGAGGGAGAGACTAGAGAGAGACCAGAGGGAGAGACTAGAGAGAGAGGCTAGAGAGAGACTAGAGGGAGAGACTAGAGAGAGACCAGAGGGAGAGACTAGAGAGAGAGGCTAGAGAGAGACTAGAGGAAGAGACTAGAGAGAGAGGCTAGAGAGAGACTAGAGGAAGAGACTAGAGAGAGAGGCTAGAGAGAGACTAGAGGGAGAGACTAGAGAGAGACCAGAGGGAGAGACTAGAGGGAGAGGCTAGAGAGAGACTAGAGGAAGAGACTAGAGAGAGAGGCTAGAGAGAGACTAGAGGGAGAGACTAGAGAGAGAGGCTAGAGAGAGACTAGAGGGAGAGACTAGAGAGAGAGGCTAGAGAGAGACTAGAGGAAGAGACTAGAGAGAGACTAGAGGAAGAGACTAGAGAGAGAGGCTAGAGAGAGACTAGAGGGAGAGACTAGAGAGAGAGGCTAGAGAGAGACTAGAGGGAGAGACTAGAGAGAGACCAGAGGGAGAGACTAGAGGGAGAGACCAGAGAGACAGACCAGAGCGAGACCAAATGTAGAGGCAGGTTTGTTGTTGTCAGCGTAGACTTGACTAGAACAACACTAGGACCAGTAAAACCCCTGGTCTCCTCAGAAAGTCCAGATCCAGGACCAAACTCCGGTTTCTATGATGATGTCGTGTTTTGGAGTCTCCGTGTTCCCTTCGCCACCGTGACCGTCCCCTCTGCCGTCCGCCATCTTGGTGTCTCGTTGTCGTGACGATGTGTGTGTGCAGAAACAAAAACAAGCACAATCTTTCTGTGGGTTTTAAACTAAAGCCATGAAATAAATGTTTGGATAAAAACTGTTAAAATGAAATGTATGATTCTGTTTTTAAGTCTGCGTTCACATTTGCACATTTATTGAGTCCATATTTGCAGGTTTGTGTTGAGAAACTAAAGCTGGGGTCCCTAATTTCAAATTTCTAACAGTGATAATTAGATCTACAGTGTCAAATGGGCAACCTGCAGGGTGGACATAGACCAGGACTAAACCAGGACTAAACCGGGATTAGATCAGGATCAAACCAGGACTGAACCAGAATTAGATCAGGATTAAACCAGAACTAGATCAGGATCAAACCAGGACTAAATCGGGATCGACCCAGGAATAGATGGCGATTAAACCAGGACTAAACCAGGAGTGAACCAGGACAAGATCAGGATCAAATCAGGACTAGATTAGGATCAAACCAGGACTAGATCGGGATCAAACCAGGACCAAGTTTTCAGTGGTACTTTTGAAAGACAATTTAGATGTATTACCTTAATAACATGTTTCAAGTAAACCAGGCTTAAACAGACCAGGACTGAAGCGGAACCAGGACTGAAGCGGAACCAGGACAAAACTAGTTATGAGCCAGGACTAGACCAGACCCACATCAGGATCTTTATCTCCTCTAAACTGGATTAAAGACTGAAATACAGGTGTGAACGCTCTCAAAAGCTGCAGTATTTGAACAATTACAGATATAAGACCAGACCAGTTGAGGCCAGACTAGACCAGACCAGACCAGTTGAGGCCAGACTAGACCAGACCAGACCAGTTGAGGCCACACTAGACCAGACCAGACGCACATTATGAGTTTCTGGTCCAAGTTCCTGGTTCTATCGATAGTTTTCATCTCTTTCTGGTCTCAGTTGCCAGGTCTGAAATGGGCAACCTGCAGTGTGGACATAGACCAGGACTAAACCAGGATTAGATCAAGATAAAAACCAGGACTAAACCTGTAAACCCTAAAAACAGGTTGAAACATGTGGTCCAACAGGTCTGGTCCAGTCTCTGTCTCACACTTTGGTTTCAGTAAAAAAGCAAATGTGACTCTTGTGTTTTGGAGCGGGTTGAAGGCGGTGAAGCCAAAACAATCTTTTCTCAGGTGTGGAAGTCTGCGGCGGCAATAACAGAAGCAAAAACATCTGTCGCACTCGTGATACAGTGTTACCAATGTGTCGTTTGTGTTTGAAGCCGTTCTTTTCTGGTGCTTACGATTCACACAATAAATGTTTTGAACCAGAGGAGATTTGGTCCGAAACAAACTCGATTCAGTTTCTTTGTGAATCGCACTAAATCACAACTGCAGTCGCCTCCGAGGACTTTACGATGTTGTGGATTCGCCAACAACAGATCAGAGAATCAAACAGGAAATGCAATAATAACAAACACAGAGAGACATTGGTCCGAAGTCCAGAAATGTTCACTTTTTTGGCTTTTTCAGGGTTAAATTAAGTCAAAAAAAAAAATGTCAGCATAAAAGGGAGTTTCAAATGTCTTCAGATTTCTTACAAATCAGACTGGAAGTATTTAACGAAGAAGCCAACTGCCAAAAACCTGTTATTTTAATGTCTTTTTCTGTATTTATTGCTCATGACCATGTATGGTATGGAGCACAAACAAAACAGCGAAGCATCACTTTAAAGGAGCAGAATGAACAAATGTGGCCAAAAGTGGTACTGCAGCCTCTCCCACTCTCCCTGACTCAGGTTGCCAGATATGCAGACGAATCCAGCTGGGACCATAACAGCTGAATAGACAAGAGTTTTGTCAACAACAAATCTATAACCAGCACCTTTTTCACAAAGATAGAAATGATTTGAGAATCATAACGAGACTTTTTTTAGTTCTGCGCCACATGGTACTTTACCAGTGAGATTTGCTCCACGCGGTGAGTTCTGGCACCAGGATCACAGACTTTCTGATGGGGTAAAACGTTGGAGGGCGGGACATCGAAATGAAAGCAATAACAAGATTTAGGGGCTGGAAAAGTAATTTAGAAATTCAAACATCTCTGAACTACTGTTATTAGTTAAAGAAGTATTTGAAAAGAGCATGTTTTATTAATGTCTTTTGACAGATTAGGGCCCTTTAATGATGACAGACTAGGGCCCTTTAATGATGACAGATTAGAGCCCTTTAATGATGACAGATTAGGGCCCTTTAATGATGACAGATTAGAGCCCTTTAATGATGACAGATTAGGGCCCTTTAATGATGACAGATTAGAGCCCTTTACTGATGACAGATTAGGGCCCTTTAATGATGACAGATTAGAGCCCTTTAATGATGACAGATTAGAGCCCTTTACTGATGACAGATTAGGGCCCTTTAATGATGACAGATTAGGGCCCTTTAATGATGACAGATAGAGCCCTTTAATGATGACAGATTAGGGCCCTTTAATGATGACAGATTAGAGCCCTTTACTGATGACAGATTAGGGCCCTTTAATGATGACAGATTAGGGCCCTTTAATGATGACAGATTAGAGCCCTTTAATGATGACAGATTAGGGCCCTTTAATGATGACAGATTAGGGCCCTTTAATGATGACAGATTAGGGCCCTTTAATGATGACAGATTAGAGCCCTTTAATTATGACAGATTAGGGCCCTTTAATAATGACAGATTAGAGCCCTTTAATGATGACAGATTAGGGCCCTTTAATAATGACAGATTAGGGCCCTTTAATGAAGACAGATTAGAGCCCTTTAACGCTCCTGTCATTTATACACATGTTATCATTCAAACAGTCTTAAAGTGACTTAAAGTTCTGATACTAGATTTTAGACATAATTCAAGGTTATAATAAAGTCAAAAAGAAAGAAGTAATGAAGAAATCTGAACAAACGTCTCAGGCTCAGTTCAGGTTCAGTGTTTTTTATTTCACAAACACATGCTGCTCCTTTTTACATTTCAGACACATTCAGGACAGAAGCAGCGCCTCCTCTGGGGTTTCTCTGTCTCTGTGGGCTCTCTCCTCTGTGTCTTTATGGTCTCTCTCCTCTGTCTCTCTGTGGGTTCCATCCTCTGTCTCTTTATGGTCTCTCTCCTCTGTCTCTTTATGGTCTCTCTCCTCTGTCTCTCTGTGGGTTCTCTCCTCTGTCTCTTTATGGTCTCTCCCCTCAGTGTCTTTATGGTCTCTCCCCTCTGTGTCTTTATGGTCTCTCCCCTCTGTGTCTTTATGGTCTCTCCCCTCTGTGTCTTTATGGTCTCTCCCCTCTGTGTCTTTATGGTCTCTCTCCTCTGTCTGCCTGTCTCTCCCCTCAGCTCTGTCTGTCTCTTCTCTCTCCTCTCCTGTCTCTCTTTTTTTGTCTCTCTTCTCTCTTGCCTGTCTCTTTCCGCAGTCTCTCGCTCCTCTCTTCACTGTCTCTGTTCTTTGTCTCTCTCCTGTTTCTCTATTTCTCTCCTCTGTCTCTCTCCTCTCTCTTTCTCCTGTCTCTCTCCTCTCTCTCTCTCCTCTCTCTCTCTCCACTGTCTCTCTCCTCTGTCTCTCCTCTGCACCGCTGTTGCTTTTGTGTTTATTGATGGAAGTGGTTGAAAAAAACTGGTCTCCAATTGGACGAAAGGTGAACATCCACATCCTTCAGCACAGAAGAGATGTGGACACACACACTCTCTCTCTCTCTTTCTCCCTCTCTCTCTCTCTACCCAGAACCCACCTCTTCCAGTGTTGGCCCATAATTCCCGAGCCTCACAAAACAAAGTAACACAATCAAACAGAATCATTCACTGTGTTTACATTGAACCCGGGAGTTTCCAGTCTCTCTCTCTCTCTCTCTCTCTCTCTCTGACCGAGTGTGACATCTCCACAGTGTTAGCTTTGATGCGGAAGAAGCTGATTTGAACATAAGCTAGCTGGAGCCAATTTCCTTATATGGGCATTCGTACCGTTGGCGTTAGCTATTGCTTTGAACCTGGGAGCGACGTGTTGCTATGACGATAAGTAAAGCTGGAGTTTCCCTGAATGAGAGAAATCCTTATACGGCTTGTATCTGGATTTACAAAGACAGTAGCACAAAATAAACACCAGGATCACAGAGAGCAATGAAACACAATTTATTTAAGCCCAAAATGGTGAGAGTGACACCAACAGTTACTGAGCTACAGGAGTTTACTTTTACATGTAAGTCGATAAGAGCCAGAGCAAAACTTTGTCCACGAGCACTTCCTTATTGGGCTGCGTTGAGCTAGCGTGTTAGCATTATCAATTTACTGTATGCGGTCTATGGCATAAAGCTAATCCAGTCGGAACAAAGGCCCATATAAGGAAATTGTCTCCAGCTAGCTTAAGTTCAAATCAGCTTCTTCTTCTTGAGGCTAACGCTGTGGTGATGTCACACTCGGCCAGTCCGCTCCTAATACACACTTCCTGGTGCGGGTTGCCAGATTAAATGAAATTGGATGTTGAAAAGAACAAATGAGACGCCGGAACAGAACAGACACATGTTTAAGTAAATAAATAAATATATAACAGAAATGTTGTGATGTCTCTGCAAAGGAAATCAAGATGTTTCGGGTTGTGAAGATACAGAAATGTTGTCTAGAAAGTTTCCGGTAGATTTCCACGGGAAGTTAATCTGGGGAATGTTGGAAATATTCTGTGTTGGGGGGAAAAAAACGAAAAGAAAAAAAACTTGTCTCCCCAAAACATTTAACCTCAAACATGTTTTAGTTTGCCATGCCCAGACTCTCCACACACACTCTCTCCAGCTCATCTGGGGGAATCTCGAGGCGTTCCGAGGCCAGAGAGAGACACAGTGTCCTGGGTCTTCCCCTAGTCTCTTCCCGGTGGGACTTGCCCAGAACACCTCCCAGAGAGACGACTAGGAGCCATCCCAAACAGACGCAGACCCACCTCAACAGCGACTCTACTCCGAGCTCCCCCCGTGTGACTGAACTCCTCTATCTCTAATGCCTAGCGTACATCGGACTGGCAACTGAGTATATCCGTCGCATATGAGTTGCTGCCCCGCACACATCGACAATCTGGAGAAAACGGGCAACTCCGAGTATCAGGCCAGTCTCGGGAATAACAGCAACTGGCCTCAACTACAGTGTGTTTTCTGGCACAAACTGTAGATGGCGCAATACACGCAATACACACATGTTGTTGGAGCGAGCACATCGGGTGATACCTCCGGATCTGAGGACAACTGGTTTCCGAAAAGTAGAACACGGGCAACTGACTGAAACTGGAGATCGACTGTTTATTTCCAGTTGTAAGAGCGCTCACATCGACCGATTTCAACTGATCATCTCCATCATCTGCTCTCAGTCGCCAAAAGCCGCCTGGAAACTAGTCGTCTCCAGTTACTCTGTCCATGTACGCTAGGCTTAAGGGAGCGCCACTTTGAGGGAGAGAGAATGTAAGCGCCATCTTGTTTTTCCGGTCATTACCCACAGCTCAGGACCAGAGGTGAGGGATGAGGGAGGGGACTGAGATGGACCGGAAAATCGAGAGCTCTCTGGATCTACAGGACTCGGCCACATGGAGAGACCAGGGCCCGTGATCTGGTCCAGCTCCATGGACTCTGACTTGGAGCTGATTCTCATCGATTGTTTGTGAGATAATTATAATTCAAACATTTCATCAATATCTTTCCCCATGATATCATTAAAACTGTGTGTAGTCCACAGGCTCGAATGTGCCTTCAACAGTCGTGTGCTTTGGGCTCAAAACTCCAGTAGGGGGCGTGGTCTCAGTAACAGAACAGGTCTGCGTCCCTTATGCACCAATGTGTTTGTTTGTGTTTTAACGGTTTGATTCTCTGATCTGTGTTGGCGAATCAACAGTTTTTAAATTGAAGTGTGTTTGAACAGCATCTGTTTGTTTTAGTTAAAGGTATATTCTTGGGTTTCATATGACGTCGGGCAGTGGCGCGAAGGACACATGTGGGACAGGACCGGACGTGACGTATCCTGGCAGTGCAGTCTGCCGGGTTTATACACGGAGATATAGTAGAAGAAGAAGCGCTGTCAAAATGCCATCTTTGTGTGCGGTGTACGCTTGTAGCAACCGCACAAACAGAGAGAAAGACCAGAGTTTGTTCATGTTCCAACTGTGGTCTCATATAAAGGAGGACGCTTAGAAAAAATCATTGGAATGAGGCGGGCGAGGTGGATCAAGGCTTTCCCAGATAAGCGCCCCCTGCAGGCCACCCCAATGAAACGCAGCAATTTCTTCTGTTATTTTTTCCAAAAATGCCTGAAATCAAGACTCTTTTGATAAATATTTTGTAGTACTCCCTTAGAATTGAGTGTCCCCGATTAAGACTGTTCCAACAACCGTACACCGCACAGGAGGAGAGCCTTTGGCTCCAAAACAGACTTGACATGGTTTTCAATGGGAGCAAAACTGAGTTGTCCCACCTCTGCTCATTCGCCCCCTACTGGACAGGTTCATGAAACCCAAGAATAGGAGGAGTTTCTACTTCCGGTGGATCATGAAGATTATTGGTGCTCGTCAAATAAGACCAGAGAGTTTTGTTCAAAAAGTGGAGAGAGCGGTTCTTTCCTAAAATCCTTTAAGATTATACTGAAATAAACTCAATTCATAGTCCTCAGCTTTATTATAGCTCACGGTGAAGAGCCGATCTTTAATTTGGATAATTCCCAGTTCTTTCCCTTAATTTCCCATAAATTCCGATGGAAAATGTCTTCGTTTGAAAATCCACAGATGTTTGAACACCACCACTGAGGCGCTCACATTTAAACAGTGATTCACACATGGCACTTTTTTATCACAATTTCACGCAGACGAAACAAGACGACGAGAGGATGCAGCGCCTGCCGTGTCCATGTGGGGGCGCTGTGCCGTTCCACACCACGACCTGTGCTTTGGATGTGATTTAGAGTAAAAAAAATACATTGTTCGTTGGTTTGAGTCATTCAGAAGTCTGCGATGGTTTGTGTCCCAGTGTTTTTCGCTCGGGTCTCCGTCTCCTCAAACTTCGATGTAGACCGTGTCCTTGCGGTGCTTGGGTTCGTTGGCGAGATGAGGTTTCTCTGTTCGCGTGTGCCAGACTAACACCTGGAGAACAAAAGAACAAAGAGAGAGAGAGAAACTGCTGAGAATGTGGATCTATACGAGCGAAAGTAGGGCATAATGTAAAGCAGCGACTCAGGGGAAAACTTTGGGGAAGAACTAGTTCAAATGAAGGCAATAAACTGTTAAGCAGCGTGTGGAGACCCCTACTGGAGGAGGATGGTAACAGCACTGTCCTGACTCGTCCTGTTATATCATTATGGCTGCAGCTGTAGTCTGTTCATTGCTATTCACCCACTGTCTGGACAGCCTCAGTCAGTCCTGGATCTACAGCCTCAGTCCTGGATCTGCAGCCTCAGTCCTGGGTCTACAGCCTCAGTCCTGGATCTACAGCCTCAGTCCTGGATCTACAGCCTCAGTCCTGGAGCTACAGCCTCAGTCCTGGATCTGCAGCCTCAGTCCTGGATCTACAGCCTCAGTCCTGGATCTACAGCCTCAGTCCTGGATCTACAGCCTCAGTCCTGGATCTATTTTTTTTTTTTTTTTTTAATTTATTTATTTGATCGGGACAACACACATTAATGAACAATCATATACAGTTGTACACAGATTGTAAATGTGCCAGATTATAGCAAAACTGCTAATTTACATCTGTAGTCCCGAGGCAGGTCACACAAGTAAAACAATGTATGAACAAAACATACATACAAAACACAATATAAAAACTTTATAAATCACATTTTAGTTAAAATGAGTGCATGACTGATTTACTTTGATGTGATGTTTAAGTTGTTTCTTAAAGGAGCTGTATGTCGGGCATTCTCTTATGTCTGTAGGAAGGCTGTTCCAAGACTGGCCTCCTCTGACGGACAGCACAGTTTGTCCAAATGTTGTTTTTCTGTGTGGGATTTCCACATCTCCTCTGGAGGAGGCTCTGGTGCGGAGACCCCTCATTGCTTTAAGTTTAATGTAGTTACATAGTGGGGGCGGGGCAAGACCATGAAGTGCTTTGTAAACAAGGCAACAGTTTTTAAAATTTATGAAATTTTGAAAATTTAGCATTTTATATTTTTCCAGGATATTGCAGTGATGATATGACCAAGGCTTTTGATCCAGAATTTGTATGGACTTTTTGAAGAGGATTTCTATGGGTTTGATATTTGTTTCTCCAGTAAGTGACCAGGTTGTAATGCAGTACTCTATGTGTGAAAATATCATTGAGTGTAGAAACATCTTTGCTGAATCTGTTGTCATAAAGGGCCTGATTTGTTTGAAGTTCTGTAAATTTAACTTTATTGTATTCGCAGTAAGCTTAATGTGTTTTTTAAAGGAGAGTGTTGAATCCAGTGTGACCCCGAGATATTTGAACTCCTCAACAAAGTCAAGCTCAGTGTCTCCAAGGAACACATTGGACCGATCAAGTTTAATAGATTTTTTTGTGAATATCATTGACACGGTTTTCTTTTTATTTAATAGTAAGGATGAGTTGTTGAGCCACTGCTGTATGTCTGTCAGAGCTGCAGTGAGGGTAGATGATGCCTCCTCAGTTGTTTTAGCAGGAGTAAAAATTACAGCATCATCTGCATACATTTGAAAGTGGACATTTTGACAAACATTTGGCAGGTCATTGATATACACAGAAAAAAGTATAGGTCCTAATACAGAACCTTGTGGGACCCCTGCAGGGCATTCTAGAAATGATGACACGGTGTCACCCACATTCACACACTGTCTTCTATCAGACAAATAAGATGTAAACCAAGCAAGAGTGTCCTCGGCCAAGTTAAAGTGAGTCAATTTAGAAATAAGGGCTTCATGGTCTACTGTGTCAAATGCCTTCTTCAAATCTAAAAAGACTGCACCAACACAGGTGTTTTTGTCAAGCATAGATTTGACAGTTTCTACAAAAACACAATTGGCTGTTTCTGTGGAGTGGTTCTGGCGGAAGCCAAACTGCATGGGGTGCAGGGGGGAGTGGCCATGGCTGAGATGTTGGTTGAGCAGCTTGGCTACCCATTTTTCAGCTACTTTTGACACCACTGGTAGTATGCTAATGGGGCGATAATGTGATGTAAGAGTCTTGTCTCCAGATTTAAAAATAGGTGAGACAGTGGCCACCTTCCAGCCTGATGGAACAACTCCCTCACTGATTGATAAATTTATCAGATGAGTGAGCAGACGCACCAGTGTGTCCATGTGTGTTTTGAGAAAATGAGTGTCGATTCCGTACACGTCTTTTGCCTTTGAAGATTTAATGGACTTGATAATATTGGCCACGTCCCCGTCTGTGATTTGCTCAAGTCTAAGTACTGGTATTTCAGGCCTCAGTCCTGGAGCTACAGCCTCAGTCCTGGATCTACAGCCTCAGTCCTGGGTCTACAGCCTCAGTCCTGGGTCTACAGCCTCAGTCCTAGATCTACAGCCTCAGTTCTGGATCTACAGCCTCAGTCCTAGATCTGCAGCCTCAGTCCTGGATCTACAGCCTCAGTCCTGGATCTACAGCCTCAGTCCTGGGTCTACAGCCTCAGTCCTAGATCTACAGCCTCAGTCCTAGATCTACAGCCTCAGTCCTGGGTCTACAGCCTCAGTCCTGGATCTACAGCCTCAGACCTGGATCCACAGCCTCAGTCCTGGGTCTACAGCCTCAGTCCTGGATCTACAGCCTCAGTCCTATAGACTTGAGATTGTGCAGACATTTTTGCTCAAAAGAAAAAACTCTTGAGCTAAAATCCTGATTGCTAACTCGCTCTTTCCCCTGCGCTCCATGTGAAATGCTCAGACACACATTCAATCACATTCAATGCAGGTTTGAGTGAGTGAGACAGAAGAGAAAACAATTATAATTTTCTTAAAGGCTGATTTCAAAGTCCAATCAAGACTCCAGACTCGCCTCCTATAGCCCTGACTCTGCACCTGTTTATTTTTAGCCGTCGTTAATGAGGCTGTAAATCTGCTTTCCTTCTTTGCTTTAGTCTGAGTGTGTGTGTGTGTGTGTGTGTGTGTGTGTGTGTGTGTGTGTGTGTGTGTGTGCGTGTGTGTGTGTGTGTGTGTGTGTGATAGTGTGCATCTTTGGGGCGACTTCAGGTGCGACGTGTCAGTGGATCCACACGACAGCGCTAATTGGGCGTTTTGCATTTCTAACGAGGCTAATGTGGCATTGGCGTGAAGCGATGGTATTTTTAGCACTGGTAATTAATCAGATACCAGGACCAGCAGTGAGGGGGAGGGACCAGCAATGAAGTATGGGAAGGCACTAGGGGTCAAAAGGAAATAGAACCCTTTTCAGTTCAGGGAGAATACAGCTGATAGCTTTAGTACAACTTTGTAGACCTTTATCTGGTCCCTCTCTGGTCTCTCTCTCTGGCCTCTCTCTCTGGTCTCTCTCTGGTCTCTCTCTGGTCTCTCTCTGGTCTCTCTCTGGCCTCTCTCTCTGGTCTCTCTCTGGTCTCTCTCTCTGGCCTCTCTTTCTGGTCTCTCTCTGGTCTCTCTCTCTGGTCTCTCTCTCTGGTCTCTCTTTCTGGCCTCTCTCTGGTCTCTCTCTCTGGTCTCTCTCTCTGGTCTCTCTCTCTGGTCTCTCTCTCTGGTCTCTCTCTGGCCTCTCTTTCTGGTCTCTCTCTCTGGCCTCTCTCTCTGGTCTCTCTCTGGTCTCTCTCTGGCCTCTCTCTCTGGTCTCTCTCTGGTCTCTCTCTCTGGTCTCTCTCTGGTCTCTCTCTGGCCTCTCTTTCTGGTCTCTCTCTCTCTGGTCTCTCTGGTCTCTCTCTCTGGTCTCTCTCTGGTCTCTCTCTGGCCTCTCTTTCTGGTCTCTCTCTCTGGTCTCTCTCTGGTCTCTCTCTCTGGTCTCTCTCTGGTCTCTCTCTGGCCTCTCTCTCTGGTCTCTCTCTGGTCTCTCTCTGGCCTCTCTTTCTGGTCTCTCTCTCTGGTTTCTCTCTGGTCTCTCTCTCTGGTCTCTCTCTCTGGTCTCTCTCTCTGGCCTCTCTTTCTGGTCTCTCTCTGGTCTCTCTCTCTGGTCTCTCTCTCTGGTCTCTCTCTCTGGTCTCTCTCTCTGGTCTCTCTCTGGTCTCTCTCTGGCCTCTCTTTCTGGTCTCTCTCTCTGGTCTCTCTCTGGTCTCTCTCTCTGGTCTCTCTCTGGTCTCTCTCTCTGGTCTCTCTCTGGTCTCTCTCTGGCCTCTCTCTCTGGTCTCTCTCTGGCCTCTCTTTCTGGTCTCTCTCTCTGATCTCTCTCTGGTCTCTCTCTCTGGTCTCTCTCTGGTCTCTCTCTCTGGTCTCTCTCTCTGGTCTCTCTCTCTGGTCTCTCTCTCTGGCCTCTCTTTCTGGTCTCTCTCTGGTCTCTCTCTCTGGTCTCTCTCTCTGGTCTCTCTCTCTGGCCTCTCTCTCTGGTCTCTCTCTGGTCTCTCTCTGTTCTCTCTCTGGTCTCTCTCTGGTCTCTCTCTCTGGTCTCTCTCTCTGGTCTCTCTCTCTGGTCTCTCTCTCTGGTCTCTCTTTGGTCTCTCTCTGGTCTCTCTCTGCTCTCTCTCTCTGACTTTTTGACACGTTCCTCCGTGGAGTGATATGCAGACACAACTTCAAGCAACACGCCTACCTTTCCCACTGTTGTCTCAGGCTCAGAGACACAGATCCTGCATGTGTTTTAGATGATGGTATCTGTGTTAAAACCATAGACTGTAAATATTAACGGATGTAGTCACGCCCATATCTGCCGTTGAAACTGATGTGCCACCACTTTTGGCTTCTATGGGGCTTTTCCAAAATGGCCGCAGGGGGTCGAAAATAAGAATTTGCGCATGCAATAGCTGTACCAGCCCCATTTATTTAACAAGTGCCTTCAAAATTCCACAGCGGCTAAACTAGACTGGTCCAAACAAATATACTCCCCTCAGCATTGACACACATGTGGAACGGAACTTTGGACCATGAGCAACTTTTGGACCATCCATTCCCGAGAGGACAGAAGACGGCATACTAAAGCTTTGGGTAATTCTCTTTCTGGGTACACCCCCAGTGGCCCGGGGTGGTATTGCAAGTATGTCTGTGCACATGTTCATGGACCCGCCCCCACTGGTTAAAACCTCCCAAAGTCTCCTCTGCCTGTGTGTCCTCGGCTCTGGTTCCTATGGCAGCAGCTCTCTCTCCTCCATCACTTTCACTTTCTCAGTTCTTAGACCCTATGCTGTGTGTGTGTGTGTGCGTGTGTGTGCGTGTGTGGGTGCGTGTGTGTGTGTGTGAAGCCTCTCCTCTCCTGAGGCGCTTCCCTCTGGGCCTGGGCTCCGCTTCCACAGACCTGTTTTACTGCAGCTTTGGTCATTAATACTGAGAGTGTGGAACAAACTGCTGTGGGGGGGAGGAAAGGGGAGGGAGAGGGGGAGTAGGGGGAGAGGGGGGTGGCGGGAGAAGCAGTGCATACAGCTGCTGCAGAGAAACTCACTCCAGACTAACTCTGCTGTAGTAGAGAATATGTGTGTGTTTATGTATGTGTGCTCCTGCTGCCACTACTACTACTGCTACTGCAATTACCACGTTTCAAAAAGTATTATTACTGTTACTGCTGCTACTACTACTACTATTAATACTGTGTGTGTGTGTCTGTGTGTCTTTTGATTTTCAGAAGTCAGCAGATCATTAGACATTCTTAGATTGCATGAAAGCTGTGAGATTTACACATAGCAACCTCATAGCAACCAAAGAGCCAATCAAGAGAAATGTTCCAATGATTATCTCCAAAGACTCGTCACTGCCTCTGTGCCTCTTCAAACAAATATGAAGATATTTGGTTTTTACAGTTTTCTGATGAGTGTCACAAAAGGTTAGGTGAGTTTATCTGTATAGCACAGTTCATAAACAAACCAACTCTCATTGAGCTAGCAGGTTAGCATGGTTCATCTATACACTGTAAAGTCATAAATGCTAATAATTGAATTTCGTCCTGATTTTACTCAGTGTTAGTAGTATTTTCCTCTCACTTCTCTGTATTTAACCAAAGCCCTTCTCTCTCCTAAACTCTACCTCAGACATTTATGGAACAAATGCAATGAAACAGAGCATAATCCGTTCCTGGCCGGTCCTCGGAGGCATCAGTGTCAGCGAGACGAGTGGCTTCATAAACCTGAGGCCGGAGGGAGACAGGAGAGAGGCCCCATCGTCTCATTTTAGTGTTTTTGTGGGGGAAAAAAACATTGGACGTTTATTCCCGATTTCAAAAACGTAAATTTCTTCATCTTTTATAATTTCAGTATTTCTGCATGTGTTGATGGAATTCTATGGGAAAGAAGCCATTTTTGAAAGAAATGTTGAAAAAGAAAATGTCTGGTATGATAGAGATTAGATTCAGAGAGCAGAGAGAGAGAGAGAGCAGAGAGAGCACAGAGAGAGTAGAGAGAGAGAACAGAGAGAGAGAGAGAGCAGAGAGAGAGAGAGCAAAGAGGATGAGAACAGAGAGAGAGAGTAGAGAGAGAGCAGAGAGAGACCAAAAAGAGAGAGCAGACAGAGAGAGCAGAGAGAGAGTAGAGAGAGACCAGATAGAGAGAGCAGAGAGAGACCAGGGAGAGGGACCAGAGTGAGACCAGAGAGAGACCAGAGTGAGACCAGAGTGAGACCAGAGAGAGACCAGAGAGAGACCAAAGAGAGACCAAAGAGAGACCAGAGTGAGACCAAAGAGAGACCAAAGAGAGACCAAAGAGAGACCAGAGTGAGACCAAAGAGAGACCAAAGAGAGACCAAAGAGAGAGACCAGAGTGAGACCAGAGTGAGACCAGTGAAAGACCAGAGACAGACCAGATGTCAGTATAGTGTGATGTCACATGAACCAGCTGGTCCCTCAGAGCGGCACTGACCCTGGTGCAGTTGTTGGCTTTGGGCTCCAGCTCCGACACTTTGGTGATCTGCCGCAGGAAGTCGGACTCCTGCATCCCGGGCTGAGACCCCCTGCGCTTGAACTGAGCGCGAGGGTTGGAGAAGACCACCTGCAGGTTCACCGCGAAACCTGCACAACCACACAGGAAGAGACCGACTTAAAGCTGGGGCACCTGACTTTTCTCTTTTTCCTGAATAACAAATGTCCCAACAGAGAGATTCTTTTAAAAGTAAAATGTTGTGAACGAATCAGACCACAGATTTTTAGAAAACATATTATCTTTAGAGTAAGAATGTTTCCAACTGTTCATAGAGTTCCGTCCCAAAACTCCAGACCGTCTTCCCCAATTTAAATGAATGAAAATGAACTAACAAACTGAATTACTAACTCACTGATGCCCAATGAAGGTTCAGAATATTGTTAGAGCTACAATGGCCTGTTATACTTCATCATATTCATCAAAACATTTATAATAATAATAATAATGCATTGGTTTTATAGAGGACATTTTTGGACGCTCAAAGACGCTTCTCTCCAAACACGGTGGTGATAAACTACTACTGAAGCCACAGCTGCCCTGGGGCACACTGACAAAAGCGAGCCAACAGTCTGTGCCATTGACCACCAACCATTCACACACACACCAGACTCATTCTAATGTGAGAGAAGTGTCTTGCCAAAGTACACAACCACAGTTTGGCACTACAGCTGCAACCGCCTCACTGTGGCAACTGGTGTTCTCACAGGTCTCCCATCACAATAAAAACCCAGACCTGCACTACTTAGCTACAGAGCCCTGACTGAATCTGGCTTTCACATTATTAGACTGGACCAGAGGCTGTGTTTGTGATCATTACATTGGCTGTGTTTGAACGGTTTGATTCTCTGATCTGCTGTTGGCGAATCGACAGTTTTGTAAAGTCTTCTCAGATGTTGTGATTTAAGGCTATAGAAGAAATAACATTGAATAGAATTGACCGACTGCTCTCTGCAAACGTCCCTGTGAGAATGCAGCAATGCTAACCGCCATCTGTCTTCCGTGCTTCTAACTCCCCGCAGTGCGCCCCCTGCCTCCCGCTGAGGGCGCCACGGGGGCGGCCATTACGGCTCCATTATCTAGTGCCACGCGACGCATTAATGCAGCTAATGATGATGACACCGGGGACGGCGGGGCCCTGTCCACAGCCATCACAGAGTCCATTCAAGTCAATGGGAAATGAATGGACTGAGGTTTTCTCAGATCAGTGTTTGATTAGAGATTAGAGACCAGAGGAGACCAGAGAGAGACCAGAGGAGACCAGAGAGAGACCAGGGGAGACCAGAGAGAGACCAGAGAGAGACCAGAGAGACCAGAGAGAGACCCGAGAGAGACCAGAGGAGACCAGAGAGAGACCAGAGGAGACCAGAGAGAGACCAGAGAGACCAGAGAGGGACCAGAGAGAGACCAGGGAGACCAGAGAGGGACCAGAGAGAGACCAGGGAGACCAGAGCGAGACCAGAGGAGACCAAAGAGAGACCAGAGGAGACCAGAGAGAGACCAGAGGAGACCAGAGAGAGACCAGAGAGACCAGAGAGGGACCAGAGAGAGACCAGGGAGACCAGAGAGAGACCAGAGAGACCAGAGGAGACCAGGGAGAAACCAGAGAGCGACGCGACAGACCAGAGAGAGACCAGGAGGAGAAACCAGAAAGGGACCCGATAGACCAGAGGAGACCAGAGAGAGACCAGGGAGAAACCAGAGAGGGACCCGACAGACAAGAGAGAGACCAGAGAGAGACCAGGGAGAGAAACCGGAAAGGGACCCGATAGACCAGAGGAGACCAGAGAGAGACCAGAGAGACCAGAGAGAGACAAAAGAGAGAGACCAGAGAGAGACCAGAGGGAGAGACTAGAGAGAGCCCAGTGAGAGAGACCAGAGAGAGATCAGAGGGAGATAAGAGAGGGACCAGAGAGAGACAAAAGAGAGAGACCAGAGAGAGACCAGGGAGACCAGAGAGAGACCAGAGAGACCAGAGGAGACCAGGGAGAAATCAGAGAGCGACGCGACAGACCAGAGAGAGACCAGGAGGAGAAACCAGAAAGGGACCCGATAGACCAGAGGAGACCAGAGAGAGACCAGGGAGAAACCAGAGAGGGACCCGACAGACAAGAGAGAGACCAGAGAGAGACCAGGGAGAGAAACCGGAAAGGGACCCGATAGACCAGAGGAGACCAGAGAGAGACCAGAGAGACCAGAGAGAGACAAAAGAGAGAGACCAGAGAGAGACCAGAGGGAGAGACTAGAGAGAGCCCAGTGAGAGAGACCAGAGAGAGATCAGAGGGAGATAAGAGAGGGACCAGAGAGAGACATAAGAGAGAGACCAGAGAGAGGGACCAGAGAGAGAGACCAGAAAGAACGGAGAGACACCAGAGAGAGACCAGAGAGGCCAGAGAGAGACCAGAGAGGCACCCGAAAGACCAGAGAGAGACCAGAGAGGGACCTGAGAGAGAGACCAGAGGGCGATGAAAGAGAGACGAAAGAGAGAGACCAGAGAGAGGGACCAGGGAGACAATTTAAATGGATGATATTTTTTTGTGAATGATTGAACATATTTCACGATGGTACAAACTAATTTATGTGAAGCCATTTTAGAGCCAGACATCATCGTAAAAACCTCAAACAAACGCAGTGGACGAGCTCCCATGATGCTTTGCGCCAAATACGCATCTGTGGCTCTCATGCACGTGCACCGAGGGGCTCGGCCGCGCTCTGACCAATCAGAGCTGAGCTAATTATAAAGCGCTTCAACGAAGAGAAAGAGCTCCGACTTGTTCATGTCGCTTCAGTCTGATCCGAGACGTCGCTGTTCGTGAAGGCGGATTCTGAAAGAAATCTTTTGAAAGTTTGGCCATTTGTGGAATCAGCCGAGGGCTCTGTGAGGTTTACAAATCCTGATCAGTCAAGAGAGAGACCAGAGAGAGACCAGAGAGAGAGAGATTAGAGAGAGGGACCAGAGAGAGAGACCAGAGAGACCAGAAACAAACTTCTGTTTCTGTCTTTGCTCCAAAATGTTCCGCTTAAATCATTCGGTTTTCTTCAAATCCACACTTTACTGCCACAAACTCTGCTCCTTTCCTACTCGCTCTGGCTCCGCTCGGCCGCTGCTCTGATCAGCTCTGATTGGTCAGAGCGCGGCCGAGCCCCTCTGTGCACATGCATGAGAGCCACAGACGCGTATTTGGCGCAAAGCATCATGGGAGCTCGTCCACTGCGCAGAACCGGGAGGACCAGACGATGCCCAAATACAGGCGAGTTCTGCTAATCTCCCAGTCTCCACCAAGTCCCATGCTCTACTGAGCACAAGCCATTCAATTGAATAGGGCGCCATCTTGGATCAGCGGGGCTTGGGTAGACAGTACTGTGTCAGACATCAGCAGAGAGAGAGAGGCGAGTATGGAGCGCTATCCGTGGCATAGATCCATGGCTTTGATCCATTTCAGTGCACGGGCGTTACCTGCTGTGACGTCACACACAGTGGCACACGTTTGAGGCATAGACAACTTAAATTCATTTAAAAACACATTCTTTTTATAAAATAAAGGATTTTTTTGGCTGGAATCTATTTCAGATCGACATTAATTGATTAACTGTCGTGTCATTTGATATTCACATTTAAAGAGTCTCAAAGTGGTTACAATTGTTATTTTTGGGCATTTGTCTCTCACTCCTCACAGAGATAGGAGCAGGGCCAGTAACAGGAGGCCAGATCTATTGTGCATGTTTTTAGTGGTAGGGGAAACCTACACAGACACGGGGAGAACATGCAAACTCCACTCAGAAAGGCACTGGTCCAACTGGGATTTGAACCCAGGACCTTCTTGCTAAGAGGCGAGAGTGCTAACCACTCAGCCACCGTGCCACCCATGTATAATATGCCAGATGTATAGTAAACTCATATTTTTTCATATCAGGTAAAATAAATTAGTTTCAGACTGGAAAAACTATAAAAGCAACTCTTGAATTAGGGTTAGGGTTAATACAAAAAGTCCACTTAGCCCAGGTGAGCGCAAGCCGCGCTGCGTTCCTCTGGTGAGTGTTTGTTTTGCTCATTCGCCATGACATGTGCTCGGTAGTTTTTTGTTGATTCTTATTTATTGGGGGGTTACTAGTGGCGTTTCTGCTCGACCTGACCCTGTTGTCTTGGCTGTTTGCCTGCGTGTGTTCCACGTGTTTCTGTGGGTTATTGGTGGCATCTCTGCTCGACCTAACCCTGTTATATTGGCTGTTTCCCGTGTGTATTCAGCGTGTTCTGTGGGGTTGCCCGTGGCGTCTCTGCTTGACCTGACCCTACTGGGAGTGCCCCTGTCCTTAGCAGCGACTGCTCCTGCGCGTTCGCTCGCTGGGATGCTTGAGCCGTTGAGCTGCCAGTCCTGTCTGGCCCCGATGCAGCAGGACGATGGCCATGTGCTGTGTCCCTCCTGTCTTGGCGTTGACCATCTGCGGGAGGCACGGACCAAGCGTGCGTGTCCCAATTGTGTGGTGATGCCCTGGCCTGTGCGCGTGGCCCGCCTGTCGGTCCTGGACGGACCTTCTAGTGGCGATTCTGGGGACCGTGAATCGGCCCTGTTGGTTGATCGACCCCCTAGTCGTAAGCGTGTGGGTGCCCGGGGTGATGACCCTCCGCGGAAAAGGTCGAAGTCCTCTGATCGTGGGGTTCTGACCTCGAAGGTCGATTCACTCTGTGGAGTTGGCTCAGATGCGGACCCTCCTTCACGACCTTCAAGCTGGCGCTGGCCAGTCTGTGGCCCGGCCAGTCTTGGACCCTTTGGCCGTGTACGATGATGATGCTCTCTCTGTGGCTGCATCTGACACACATTTTTGGCCGGGCTCTGATGTCCTGAGCTCCAGGGTCTTGGAGTCTGGTTCGGTGGGCTTTGTTGGGTCTCAGTCGGTTTCCGATGAGCCCGTGACTGCGGCGATCCGAACGGCTCTGGCGCATTTGAAGCTGGATGTGCCTCAGAACGATGCGGGGCCCTCGAGTGCCTTCTTTTGCCGACAGTCTGCATCGTCTGGGTTTTCTGTTCCTCCTTTGGCTGAGAATGTCAAGGAGCTACGGGCCTGTTGGACCGATACAAGGGTTTTTTCTAGA